AAATACTATTCAACTGATGAAATGTTATTGCTAGAAAGATTGTTCCTGAAATGTTTTTATTCTAGTTGAACTGCTGAATCATGTTCTTTTTTTGATATGGCATTTTACGTGAATTTCAGTTGCTGAAATGCTTGAACTCTAGTTCATTTCTTGTTACATAGGAGTTCATGTTTTCTTTTCATTTGCAGCTACCTACCAGAATATACAAGGAAATCTTGGGGAGAATGATCCAAATAACACAACAGTGGGTAGCTTGTTTTTGTGCTGATCAATTTTATTCCTTTTTTGTGAGAAATTGACTTCTTACTGACTTGAATGCAGGTATTTGTTGGGGGTCTGGATCCCAGTGTCACAGAGGATCAATTGAAGCAAGTTTTTAGCCAAGTTGGTGAGCTGGTACATGTGAAAATACCAGCTGGCAAGCATTGTGGTTTTGTTCAATTTGCCAACAGGTAATTAGTGCATAGCTTAATGTTTTTTATTGTGTAATATTGTGTTCTTATTTTAGTCTATTTCTGTGTATGATTTACTTCAGAACTACTGCAGAGCAAGCATTATCTGCATTGAATGGGACTGTTTTGGGAGGAAGAAATATTCGGCTTTCATGGGGGCGTAGTCCTTCAAGCAAACAGGTCTTTACATATAATTAGAAAGTTAACACCACTAAATTAGCTAAAAAATACCCAATTAGAACCCTTAAGCCCAGTTATTAAATGGCCCGTCATTCCTTGTAAGCCCACAAGATTGTCAGTCTTTCCAATTTCTCACCATCCTTTTATTTATCACATTCTGTATCCTAACTAAAATTATTAACTATACTGCGCAAAGCACAGCCCTATACCTTGTATGTGATTATAATCATGCTTGAAAGAACTTTATTTGCATGCTTCTACCCATACTGCAAGCTAAGAGTTATCTTGGATTTGCAGGGTCAATCAGATCAAACCCAGTGGAATGGTGGTTATTATGGGTATCAAGGATATGAAACATATGGTTATGCACCTCCTGCCCAAGATCCTAACATGTATTACGGGGGCTATCCTGGTTATGGGAATTACCAGCAACCAGGGGCTTACCAACAACCACAGCAGGTAAATTAAACTTGGGTACTTGGACTTTTAGTTTTAGCTTTATCTTTTGCTTTTATTAGCTAAATGCTAGAATTGTGCCTTTTTCATGGTAAAAGCAGAAAGAAAACAAGGATGGTGAATCTATTAACCTTCTTACAGACTTCCAGTTTAAACGATTGTCATTGATGTTGTGATTTTGTCTTGTACAGTGATGTTGTTGTTGCCGTATGAAGCCTTGAAGGTTGTTGACCAGTTCCAGCGAGTGGATTTTAGGTTGTTGGTTGGTTCTTCACTCAGTGCTGTACAATGCAGGGTCGTTGATTTGGGTTTGAGAGAACAATTTTTTTTTTCTCTTTTTAATTGATCTCTGTGCTTTTCTGTTTGTGGTGATTTGTTCTAGTATTGATGGCATTTTAGTGGATGTGTTACCATTTTATTATAAACTGAGTTAGTGGCATTTGGATTGATGTTTTTTTAATGGTTATGCATCGCATTGCATTGCAACCTATCTGTGATTTCAAATGACTCTTATTCCAAGTTATTGGAAGAATGACTAGATGTCAATTGGAATGTTTGAAACAAAATATTCCAAAATTATCACAGTTTCTTTACTTCCGGTGTCCTGATGGCTTTAAATCTTGAAATCCAATCAAACTCTGTAGTTCCAACTTTCAAGCTTTAACATGTTTGCCCATTCCAAGCTTGGAAGTTTTAAGCTTTTAAGTTCTACTCCTTGGCCGGATTAGTAAAATCCATGTGGTAATGCAAGCAAAGCCTATATGAAGTATGACCATATCACGTGCAGAAGGTAAATTGAAGGTTTGGAGTTCACATTTCTTTTTTTCTTTTCATTTTTTTTATTTTTAATTTAAATTTGTTTTATTTAAATATAAAAAATATAAATAAAATAAAATAATATTAGTGTAAATTTTTTTAAAAAATTCTATACATTAAAGAAGAGACGTTCTGTTAAATATTCTGTTACATCAAAATTTGGAGTCAAAGTAAAATGTTTAGCTCATTCACCCGCTCCTTCTCCGTGTGAACACTTTTGCGACCACCAATCAGGAGGCCAGCACTAAAATTGTAGTGCTTCCCAGCAGTTCTCAAGACATCAAACAGCTGACCGGCTAGTTCCCTCGCAGGAGAGATTATGATGCTGCCTACCCCATCCTCAAGACCCCATCTTTCCTTATACAACTTCTCCATAACCTGTAATAAACAATACAATGGATTCTGCCTGAAACGCAGGGAGACAGAAATACAAAGAAACTTAAAATCTTCAATCTTCCTACACTCTTTTATCAACCACATAATAAAAAGAGAATGCCTCAACCCTGTTAGACATGGATTAAAACTAGAACCCTCATTCTGCTAACTCAACAGCATAAAATTGTCACCCCAACTTGATAAAAAATTGTTCCCACATTTTTTAACCAATAATGCTAAAGTCTATCTTTTTAAGCTTTCTACGCAACCAAAAAACAGAAGCAAGATAACTGAGTACAGACAGCCACCGGCACAGGAAAAATTCTTCCAATTTCCCACACTTCCTCAACTACTAGACAAACACAACTCACCGGAATAACAAAAGCCAGAGTCTTCCCCGACCCAGTTTTGGCCGTTCCAAGAATATCCCTCCCCCAAAGCGCATGGGGCAAAGAAGCAATCTGTATATCAGTCATATTAATATACTTGGCATCCTTTAACCCATATTTCGTCTTCGTCGAAATTGGCAGCTGATAAAATTTTCTTGCTCCCGCACACCGAGAAAACCCAACGACTCCATCATCATTGACGAAACTGCCCACCAGGAGAGTTCTTCTCCAGCTGTTCAACCGACAAAAGGGTTAGAGCCCGAGTCGGGTGTCTTACAGTCGATCCATTGGTTAAGAAGCTCGATTTCTTCTGCTCCCAACTTCCGGTTATGCTTGCGAACGCTTCTGGAATTGGGCTTTCTCATCTTTTGGTGTTTGGTGTTTGTTTCTGGTGAAGTCGAAGAGAGCATTTTAGGGGTTTTCTTGTCGGGGTTTTTGTTCTGAAAAATTTTAGGGTTCTTACGTTTTTAGCGGCAAAATTAAAC